CATGGTCTCTCCTGCCCGGGCTGGCTTTGAACCGCGATCCTCAGATCTCAGCCTCCTGAGTAGCTAGGATTACAGGTGTGAGCCACCAGCGCCCAGCTCTATTACAATCTATAAAATAGTTACTAGAATTAATGAGTAATGTTAGAAATATTCCAGTATACAAGGTATTAAGACTAAGCTAACCACCACCCCATTAACACAACCAGTTTTCCTACTACTTTCCTTCACATATCTGAAAAATTGTTGTTACATCCCTCACATAAAAATTTTATTTTTCTTTTATTTTGGAAAAAAAGGAAACCCTGTGGTGAAAAGATTTTGGAGAACCCCAAAATTCTGGAATGAAGGCACTATCTAAAAGAGAACTTATTTATTAAATTTCTTAATTAGCTTAATAAGTAAAGGGGGCATGTAAAAACTAGATCAATGTGGGGACTGTGGCTAGCTGCAGGAGATTTAACTGGCGTGTTTTGGAGTATAAATGATGGCAGCAGAAAACCCTGGTTGTGGGTTTGCTTAGACTATATGAGTGTTGGGCTGGGAAGATGGCTCAGTGGTAGAGCGCTTGCCTTGCATGCCTGAGGCCCTGGGTTCCATTCCTCAGCACCACATAAACAGAAAAAGCCAGAAGTGGCGCTGTGGCTCCAGTGGTAGAGCGCTAGCCTTGAGCTGAAGAGCTGAGGGACAGCACTCAGACCCAGATTTCAGGCCCCATGACTGGCAAAAAAAAAAAAACATACCAGAAAATACTGAAAAGTATGTATATATGCATATATATGCAAATCATTAAGACAGAAGATAAAAAACACAAAGAACACAAGCACCTAATTGTATAAGGAAGGAAGGAAAGAAAGAAAAGGAAAGGAAAGGAAAAGAAAGAGGCAACAATAAAATTTTAAGTTCTATTTAATCACATCAACAAAATGAAAAAGATGTATAGTACCAGTGTTAGTGAGGGTATAGGGAAACACCATTGAGTGGGAAATACAAATTTACTGAGCCTTTAGAGGAAACCATTCAGAAGCAATAATAATTAAAACACAGGTCATTCACTTGATTGGGGAGGTGGCCCTGGACTGTCAGGGGCTTTGTCCTTTGAATCTTCTGCTTTCAGAGCACTGAGAGGTATCTGTAAAACTGGTAGTTCTGAAACTACCCAAACTGCAACAAGGTATCAGTCTACACTCTTTGTAAACCCCTGCAGACTGTTCATGTGAGGCTTGCTTATGAATCCTTTTCAAAAATGAGAGGACCTTCGGAAAAAGGGTGGTTTCTCCCCCAAAGTAACTCTACCACTTTTGTACTTTTTATGAGGAAGCTGTAGGGTGGTGGTTGGACGGGACTGGATAGTTCTCTGCAGAATGGAAGGTATTTTGAGGACCTCTTTTCTCACAGCTATGGCCTTATTCATAAGTTCCAGGAAAATTGTGGGAAAATTATTTGACATCTTATGTCATCATGCTACTTGGATATATGTACATATATATACATATATCACAGACATGTATATATGTACTGATGTATGTAACATGTATACGCAAAATGCTTGTTAAAACTTTCTTTGGACTTGTGAGAATTTTGAATAGAGGCCTTAAGTGCCCATCAATAAAGTAATGTTTAAATAAGTGCTAGTGTTCTCATGCTTCCTGGAGCTCTCACCTGCACATGGCAGGAAGTCCTGGAAGCCAGCAGCCAGCTCTCAGCGCTGCCTTAGCCTCTCATGCCCCTGTGTTGGGCAGGGTAGCGCTGCCCACCACGGAGCCCCTCACAGCTTCCTAGGCTCCCACCCTCTGCTCTCAGCTCTCCAAGTCACCACTTCTCCGACTCTAAGTCCTTCTTGAATGGGAGTCTTCCACCTGAATGTTTTAGGCCAGTGGTTCCGTGCTCCTTGGCTTTTAAGTATCTGAGTATAACTGATTCTTCTCTCCTGCCTGGTTGTTATCCACTTATAAGCAGCTAAAACAACCTGACCAGTCTGGAAGCTGCTATAATTTCACCTCTCTGGTGGTGGAGGTAGATAATTTCTTCCTGAGCTCCCACTGTAAGCTCTCAGTTTGCCACCAAGTCAAAATCTGTCCTACTATATGTCTATCTCTGGTTAGTCATATAGCCAATGGGACTTCAGGCTACTTACTTGCAGCTAATATAATCTGATTTCCCCAGGTCTTGGACAGGAAGCCCTCCCTCCACAATGATGCCTCCCTACTGCTCTTTCAGATTAAAGGAGCAGAAGGCTATCATGCCTGGTGCTCACTATCACATTAGCAGAGTCACTAACCTACAAAGTACCTGCATCGGGATTTGAGGGTTTAAGAGGTGGGTATTTGTTACATCTGTTAGTCTGTCACAGAGCTCTCCTTGAGGAGACCCAACAGCCCTGTGGGAGTTACAACTGGATGCAGGAAATACGACTGGATGGTATATGCATAGTAAGCCTGGTGTCGCAGGAAAATTGCTGGTGTATGTTTAATTTACCTTGTGGTTGAGTAAAGACACAGGATTCTGAGTGCCTGGCATAATACAAGTGATACTGTGCCTATGCTTTAGGATCTCTAGTCTTTACCCCTTCCTCATATCCTGTTACCTTGCCATTTGGAATTTGGCCTTTGGTCTGGAAGCAAACCACCCCAAGATAATAAATACTCTCTGATCCACTAAAAGTAGAAGACAGCCAGCACTGGTGGCTCATACCTATAATCCTAGCTATTCAGAAGGATGAGATCTGAGGATTGCAACTTCAAACCAGCCCAAGCAGGAAAGGCTGGGTAGTGAGACTCTTATCTCCAATAAACCATTCTAAAAAAAAAAAAAAAAAGGAAGTAGAGCTGTGGCTCCAAGTGGGTAAGAGCTCAGGGACAGCCCTGAGTTTAAGCTCCATCACCAACAAACAAAATGTTTCCTTTACATTTTCCCCATGGTTACCTTTATATACAATTTTTATATATCATAGTCTTTTTGAAAAATGGACATTTTAAATTTTGTGGAAATGAGATTTTATTCCCCACAGGATTTGTTCTTTTTGCTGTCACTTTGGAAGTTTCTTCAACCAATTCAGTAAGGATCGGAATTCATTGTTGTATATAAATGCTAGAAACTCTGATTGGTTAGTTTAGTGATAATGACTGAACCAATATTTCAATTTCTGAAACCAATATACCTTTCAGTCTTTGCAGGTGTGCTGTGTGTGGATTGGGACACCGTTTAACCCAGTCAGCCAGATATTTTGTAATTTTTCCTTAGACTGAGCACTCATTTTGGTTGGGCAAAGCTTCAAGTTGAGTCAGAGTTCAGAGCTTAGGATCTGAATGTGAGCCCTGTTTTATACATATTCTTACCTTTCCAAGAAATACATCTATATTCCAAGAACTATGTATGACTTTTCTAAAGCTCTTACTTTTAAAAGCTCCCCATTCCACGGCTTTTCATTTTAAGGTTTTTATGTTTCTCTTCTGCCTCAGAGATAGCCACAATATTAAACAACTGCCTCTGGATGGCTGCAGCACTCCCGCCTCGCTCTGTGCAATGGCTCTTTGCCCTGGGTGAGCTCTGACTTAAGAAAGGCAGCCTGCATGTGGGATTATCTAAAGAAATCAAATAATGATTGCCTCAGAATGAAGCCCTTAAAGATTTCTAGACTTATTCTGTCCTTTCCAGTGGCTATTAGATTCCTGGTTTTCATCCAACCGCTTGATTGTAAGGTCATTGCAGAGCTGGGGAGGAGTTAGGCAGGCAACAAGTTAAAATGTTACAAAGCAGAGGGGTAACAATGTTCCACAAGAAATTCACTCATTACCTCATTTATTTAAGTGGAACCCCTCTGGGCATCACTTTGACAATAAAATTAAATTTTAAAAAATGTTACAAAGCTCCCTATTCTTACTGAGATTTAGGTGACAATTCTGATGGTGATGCCCTGTGGACTTCACTTTGAGAACTATTGATTCTAGATAAGCCATGTGAATGCGGAATAGAATATGGCTAACCACCCTCTACTGAGATACAAACTTACACAAGTGACCTTCTTTTTTATTCAGTTCTCACCTCTGAGCCAGTAAGAATGCAAGAAACAGAAGCATGTTCTGTCATTATTGGATAGTGACAATATCCTTTTAAAAGTGTTGATAGTTAATTTTAGGGCTCTTCTAGCCAAGTGGGATGGAAGTAGTACACCAGAGAATATGAAAGTAGTTCTCCTTTCCAAGGGCCAATTATCGCATTTGTCTTTAACAAATACTTCTCTGACGTGCTCATCCAAGGCCTTAGGAGTCCCTAAAGGTTCCTTGTGTTCATCCTTCATTCTGTGCCTTAGCTTCTGCTCTTCTGTTCTTATAGATCCAAGTTCCAAAGAGGCTCCTGAGGACTTTGTAGGGAACTTCCTGGTGAAATGTACATGAAAACTAGCTCCCCTGGATGGCATTAAAGCCAGGTCTAGGGGGCTCCAAAGGTTTGGGTCTTGGCAGTTGACCTTCCCTAGAATTAAGAAAAGTTCTGCCTCCTTTTGGACACTAGCTGATAAAAAAAATCCCAGCCCCAATTCCTTTGTTACATAGACTTGTGCCTGGGATGCTGTTTATGTGTCTTGAAAAGGGTTACCAGAGTATATTAGGCACTAGGAG